TCATCTTTGATAGTAAGGTCATCCTTGTCCTGGATTCTGAGGAGGACTCTGAATCAGACCCAAAACACCTTAGAGCGTCCTTTAACCGCTGTCTGAAATCCTTAGACACATAATAAAAGATGAAAGGATCGATGCAACTGTTGAAGGTGCTGAGAGACAAAGTGATCAGGTACGGGACATAAAGGTCATTGTTGGCGAAGTCCGATTTGGAGTAATGCAACAGCAAGAGAACATTGCTAGGCAATAAGCAAACAATAAAAACCATCAACATCAGCACAGTTACTCTAACTGCATGGGCAAAATGCTGGCCTTCAGCCATAAGGGTGCGTATCACTGCTGAATAGCAGAACAGCACAACCAACAGTGGAAGCAGAAAGCAGAGGGAGAAGAGAGTAGCAAAGTACGGCAGGAAGTACTTTTCCTGCTCTTCTAAAGGCAGTGCATCATGACAGGTTGTTATTGAAAGATTCTTTATGTTATAAGACTGTTTTGAGGCTAACAAGGGCACAGCAGCAGCTACAACTACTGTCCAAACCAAAACACTCATATAGATTGAGTTCTTGTTACTACGAAATGTCTTGGCATCAAAAGGGTGGACGAGAGCTACATAGCGATCCACAGCGATCAGTGCCAGACATACCACTGAGCCGTACATGTTTCCATAGAAGAGCGCAATTACAATTCGACAGAATGGTTCTCCAAATGTCCAGTTGTTGCCTAGGAAGTGGTAGACGATACGAAAGGGGAGCACCAGCAGTAGCAGAAGATCACAGGTGGTGAGGTTGATCAGCAGAATGGTGGAAGGGAGCTTTTTGGTTCGCTGGACCAGCAACCAGAGGGCTAATGTGTTTGTGGGAAGCCCGATTAAAAAGGCTGAGAGGCAGATAAGAGGAATCACTAGTGTAGTCCTGTAGCTCTGGATCTGCTCCGTATGCTCGCCTAGAAGTGTATCATTAAACACAACAAGGCTCCTCCCCTCTGTGAGAGAGAATAACAGAAAATAATTACTCATTTAATCGCAATATTAACCCAGAAAGCAATCACAGTCATAACTACTAAGTGAATACTATGTGCAGTCCAGTCAAATGGACATTATTGGTCCGAACAACCAGTTCAAAAGGAGAGTTCACAATATAAATTCTGTCATTATGTACTCACCCTCAATCTGTTTCTTAACACGAAGTCAATGGGGACCAGAAACTGATTGCCACTAACATGTTTCAGACAGAACAAATAAACTCATACAGGTTTAGAACAACTTAAGAGTGAGTAATGATGACAGAATTGATCTATTGGGTGAACTGTTCCCTCAAGTGTTATTTATTATTCAGTTTAATCTGAAGCAGCCTACTACACCGGTAATGCAAGAATATGATACAATCTAGATGTGTTATGACTAAATGTGATTGAATCTCATGTCTGTGCATGTTGCACCACACAATCACATCCCTCCCTCCCACATTTTTTAATACGCTGTGTTGAACTATATCTTTTGTGAAAATTAGGACACAATTTCAGTAATAATGATGCTTATTTATTATTTAGATTGCTGTATCTATCTAATATAAGAATATTATTCTTCCATCTGCTCCTTTCTGATCATGGAAATGTAAAGGAAATTTTTCTGTAAATTTTCTGTAAACCTACATTTTTGACAGAAAGGTCAACACACCAAAGTCACAGACACTTAAAACACAATGTTAATCTTAAAGTTAATAATATAATTAGAAAATACTTACTGGGAACACTTCCGTTGGAGCTGTTCACCTCTAAAGCTGAGGAGATGTGAAGAAAAGTGAGAAGGAGATGGAGAAAAAGCAATTGAGAAATTGCAAAAAATGACATTGTGCTGAAAAACTTGTCTTTGTGTAAAAGTTTTAAGTATTTTTTAAGGCTAAAAGATACTAGGCCTATCTCTTTCCTCCCTTTAGTTTGGTCTCAAGGTTTTTTTTTTTTTTTTTTTTTGATGTGGGGACTCACTCCGCCTCCCCTTGAGTTTAGACCAATCATTGAGTTTCTCTCCATTGTGCCTCTCTCTGTTTCTGAAGATAGTCAACAGATGTGTTCTCCTGTTTACACTTTTCCCTCCTGCTCTGACTTATATGGGAATAGTTTATGTTGTTTGAGAAAATAAATCAATTTTTTTTTTTCAGATTTCATAATGATAAAAAAAAACAAAGCAATTTCTCATGTTTAGTATTTAGAACCGAATGGTTTAATGGTGACAGTTTTAGTGATGTAAAGAAGTCTAGAGATGCCTACAATTGTTAAGCCATTTGGACAATGTTAGTGAAACAGTATAACAATGTCTTACCCATGACAGCACCGCTTGACTAAACAGGAAGAGATAGAATCACACTGGGAGGAAATGAAAGAGTATGCTATGGGTTGTTGAAAAAAGGAGAAGGCCTACTTTACCCACAACATGCATTTACCTTTCTTAGATCCTTTAAAAGAAAGGGCGGGGGGGGGGGGGGGTTATAATAACTTCTTTTAATAACAATATGAAAGATTGTTGCATTAAATAATGGTACAAAGATAACTTTAACGACTTTTTAATGACTAAAGATTGCCTTCACTATCACTTCTCTTTAAGTATTAGTTTTTGTCTAATATAACAGCAAATTTTCTGTTCACTTGTATGCATGAATCCCTCCATACCACTAAATAACCTTTATTTTTAAGAGTGTAGGTGTTGACAGTGAGCTCTAGAGGGCGCGTTTACTCTTATGCAACTCAACTGTTCAGTTTTCCATCGTATCGATCATGTCATGTATCATGTCTGTAGATCAGCTGTATTCACTATCCCAGTCTTACATCAACCCTGGATTGTTTTCAAGTTGGAATGATAATGCAAAATAGAGTAAAACATTTTTGTTTAAGAATAGGTCGAGAAATATGTCATGAAATGTACTGGGATGATGAATTAACATGCTGAACCATTCTCTGATGCTGAAGAAACATCATTTTCATTTTCACCAACTTCATAAGTAGCTAGGCTATAAAGAAAAAATCTCAATGTAATGCATAACGTAATCTGTATATGCAGGAAGACGACTTTACTTATTAATGGAAACATTAAAGATAAAAAAAAAATAAATTCTATTTTCCTATATATTCTATAGGAAATATGCTGTTTGATTTAAAAGCTGGCAAGTAGTTGGACTTGCTGAAATGACACTCAACAACAAGGTTGTTTTTGTGATTTATTGTAAAGTAGAATTATATTTGGTCTCCACTAGAGAGAGCCAGAGATCCGGTGAGTGATAATTGTATTTAATCGTTCGGCTAAAAACAGATCTCTACAATTATTAAGTTATGAGAGAAATTATGTACACAGTGGGCAGTTAAAGGTAGGCCTAATTGTTCAAAGGTGAACATAGGACAATAAAGAGGAAAATAATTATAGATTCATGTATCTCCTGCTATTTGTCAAGATTACAGAAGAATTAGTTCGTTATAGTGCAGAAAAGAAAAGAAAAGAAAAGAACTGTGAGTTGGATCTGTTGTCCAGTGCACCTCCATACCAGCCTGTGCCAATGTTCTGCAGGGCACCATGAACCAGTTAAAAGTTTTTGATGTGTAAGATGTTTAATGTTTTTAAAAGAAGTCTCATCTGTTCACCAAGGCTTCATTTATTTGATTGAAAATACAAAGAAAAGTAATATTGTAAAATATTAATAAAATGTTTATATAAAACAGCTTTTTTTCTATATGAATTTATAGTAAAATGTAATTTACTCATCAAAGTTGAATTTTCAGCATCAGAATCTCCAGTCTGAAATCATTCTGATTTGATGCTCAACCAATTCATTATTATTACAAATGTTGAAAACTGTTGTGTACATTTTTTTCAGGATTCTTTGATAGAAAGTTCAAAACAGCATTTTTTTTAAACAGAATATTTTGTTATACATGTCTTTACTGTAGGCTAACTTGTGATCAATCTCATCCTTGATGAATGAAAGTATTGATTTATTTTATTTCTTTCCCCCAATAATAAAAATAAAATAAAATAAAAAATTCTTACTGACCCTATAGCTTTTGAAAGGTATAGTGTTTAATGTTACAGATTTCAATTTCAGATAAACGCTGTTCTTTTGAACTTTCTATTAATCAAATAATCCTGAAATTAAAACATTGATTCAACATCGATAATGAGAAATGTTGAGCAACATTTTTCAATAAGGATTCATTTATTAACAATTAGGCTACTTAACTATATTAGTTAACAATAACCAAGAACAATAAATGCTGTAGAAGTTTGTTAGTTCAAGAAATTTCAACAATTACAAATACATTTTTAAACAAGTTTTATCTGTTAATGCACTTTGAACTAAATAATAAATAATTGCATTTGTATTAACTAAAACATTAAACACTAAACTCACAAAAATATATTGCTTATTGTTGCTTATTGATGTTAAAACTGATGCATTTATGTTAACAAATGAGTCCTTTTAAAGTGTTACTGTTAGGCTACTTTATTTAAAATCGTGCTCTGGGTTTTCAGAGTATAGCTGCTGAGATGTTTATAATGTCAATGTACAAGAGAATGATTCATCTTTACAGACCAATATATGGCTACATTAACAATATGATGCTATCAAATATGGAAGTTGCCTCTGTATAATTATGACATCATCGGTAATGCCTATGCTTTACATTCATCCTTGTTTACATGTAAATAGCATATTTCAGATGAGCAAACTGAAATAAAACAGCTCTGCTGGTCATGTAATGTAAAACATATATACAATATATATATATATATATATATATATATATATATATATATATATATATATATATTTGTATATATAATGTTTCTGTTGATCTTTTCTTTAATCTTTGACTGAAAACTTCTTTGCAAATTCTAGACCCGTGAAATTCAAAAAGTACGGCCTCGAGGCTCGAAGGCTGGCACTTGTATTAAGTGATTGAGACCCAGCATACGCATTTTGAGATGATGGTGATGTGGCCCCGTCCTTCCCTCCCACTGATCTGATCTCACTGTGCGAGAGACACGCTGATTCGCGCATGCGCATACGCGTACGACTCAGTGTTGGCGACCAGGAAAAAAGCAGAACAGCAACACATTGGTCTGCCTATGGCCGAACGAGCCACGGCTCTGTGAAATATTACAACAAAGAGAGAGTTTGACTTAAAATAATACAGGTGGAAGCGACCGAGCAGGTAAGATATGCTATCTCGCAATAACCCTTTTTACTGAATGAAAATCTCCGCGCGTGAGGAAAGGAGTTTTTGTTTCATAGCTGTCCCTGTCAGGGCTGGTTGCACGAACAAAGCAGTCCTGACACCAGAAGAGACACATTTGTTTCCCTTTAACAGTCGTTAAATGCCAATTTACTAGTGGTAGGGCCTGTAGAAGAGCCTACTTAACGGCCTTTAATAAAAGCAAACTGTGTTTATTATATGGACACAAGCCTCTCTAATTAACGTTAAATGTACGCGTTTTGTTGCCATTGCAGAGTCTGTAACGTTACCGTCGACTAATCTATCTACCCTTTCTTTCTGTCAGGGGAAGCCACGCATGGCTCACCATATGGACGTTGTGTTTTGAGAGGAGGACAGTATGTTTACATGAGGGCTCTTGAGACAGAGCGCTGACCGTTGAAAGAATCGCAGAGTCGGGTTGCGTTGATCGGTGAAGACATTGCCGAAGATGCTGAAGAGATTGGCCGCGCCGGCGTCATGCAGCAGCTGCCTTCTCGCCTTCCTCCTTGCCTTCGTCTCGCCCAGGTGTACGCAGTCTATCGGTGCCGACAAAACTATGGTGAACAAGGAGGATTATTATAGCGCCACTGTCAACGCCACCGTTTTGGACAATAAAGGCAATCCTCAACATTTGGTGACGAAGAATGACGGGCGGTACGGGCAGAATTCTCCTAAAACAGAGGCGAAGGGGATTGTGATCGCACCTGCTGCTGTTAATGGTGGTGAGTGTGTATGTGCATTGGTATTTTAAGGTGTCATCATTTCAGGTGTTCAAAAATATTCCACCAGAACAGATGCTCTGTCTCTTCACTTATCAAGGATATCATCAATAACTGTCTCCTAACTAATAATCTTTTTAGATGGTTTGATATTGTACGCAGGTGTTCGTGGTTTGCTTCATTTCGTCACCTTTTCAAATATGTTCAAATCCATTATTCTTATGAAAGAGAACTATTTTGGAAGTCATTATGGACTTGGAGATCAGAACCTTCCTGATATGTGTCAACTTCACATCACGTCATGTCATTTCCTCAGTGTGGAGTGTGCACAGCAGAGTAACATGATGTTGAATAATTACTTCTTCATAGACATTATTATAATACTTTATTTTACTTCACTTGATTGAGATTGTTACCCTTTCAGCTACCTATGTAGCAGTATACCTCTCTGAGATATTCAGGTGTCCTGTTTTGGCTGATTCTCTTGCAATGATGACTACGTAAACTGTACACCCTTCATACGATATACTTGCATAACCTCCCCTGAAGAGGCCATGCACCGCTGTGTGCTCTGTTCTGAAAATTCAGTGACGTAGGGGATAAGGGACACAAGTGTGCCTTGCTTTGTTTGCAATAACACCATCCCTTGCCCTCATCTGAACTAAATTAGGAGTTCTTGTGACTCAGAGCATATGTTAGGTGCCCTGCTCTGACGTCAACCGGTGTTGCACAATTGTTTTACAAACTTGTTCAATCACAGTATCATGCATAGCCTACAGTACTTGTAACCCCAAAGTTGCTTTTTGCAGTGCCATGGCTGCTGTCTGTGGATTGTCTTTATCAACATTTCCCCATTTGTTTTTCAGCTGACACGTTTTAGGTACATTTATCTCATCTCCTTCACACTTGTTATTCAAAATTCTGCTGAATCATTTAGTTTTTGCAAAATTTTCCTGTATGTATTGAATGGCTTAAGGTAAGTGCAGTATCTATAATCATTCTTAGGCTGGCTGGTGTCATCTTCCGCTGTTCAGATGCATATATAATATATTCTCTCTCTCTCTCTCTCTCTCTCTCTCTCTCTCTCTCTCCCTCTCTCTCTCTCTCTCTCTCTCTCTCTCTCTCTCTCTCTCTCTCTCTCTCTCTCTCTCTCTCTCTCTCTCTCTCTCTCTCTCTCTCTCTCTCTCTCTCTCTCTCTCTCTCTCTCTCTCTCTCTCTCTCTCTCTCTCTCTCTCTCTCTAACCCAGTTGTCCTCTTATACTGTGCTTGTTCAGGTTACAGGATGCTCAGAATTCACCAGACATCCTTGAGACTGAGATTCTCTGTAAATCAATTATTAATCAATATTTATTATAGCACCATTAGAATGCTTATTGAGGTGCAGGACACTTTGACTTGGTTTTGTGCCATTGTTGTAAGATTAAAGAAGATGAATATGTCAATGGCAACCGTTGCAGTCAAGGGATCTTCTTTACTGCTGATCACATATTTTAAGTTCTGTTTTCAAGCCTTGTTTTTGATGACTTCAGCACGGCAATTTTCTATGTCTTGCGTCCAGCCCTCATTGTACCAATTTTCAACTTGCATCCTGTTAGTTAACCTGTGTTGAATTGACCCAGAGCAGTTGTCTGACCTGCTGGTCATTATTTCAGTGAACCCAGTGTAGGTCATTAATCCCGATCCAGTCAGACGCTGGAAAAGGGACACCAGGCTCTATATTTAATATGAAATCTGTTCTCAAGGACATTACCACATCCATTCCCCTGTTTGCAGTGAGGGAAGAAAGACAATAGCCAAAGGAGACATTCTATCATTTAAGAGTAAATGTGGACAGTAAATCCAAAGCTAAACTTCCACAAGCTATTCTGCTTCTTTTATTGCCATCTCAATTGGATCGGAGGCAAGGTAATGATTCTCAGAGAAGATTCGGTATAAAAAAAGCAGAGTACTGACATAAAACAGTAATACCCACTTCCTCTGTTACTCTGTCAGGTCAGGTTTAGGCATTGTAACATTTATTTGACAGTTAAATATAAATAAAATAATTAAATCGATAAAACGTATCGTATAAATCAGGGTTATCATAAGCCACCTTTCCACTGCACAGGACATTCTCATATGATTGTCGCATTTCGTCCCCTTTAATAGCTGCAGTCGCGTGAAACTTTGAAATTACATGAAGCATCCGCACCCTCGCCTTATTAACCATGGTAGAATTAATAACATGCATGTATGAATATATCCACACAAAACAATGACCCTCAATACAGCATAATGTTAGAATATGGTGAGGCCAAAAATAATGTTTTAAAAGGAATTTATGGAAATTGACATCTATAGTCAGGATCCTCTCTTACACTCTAGCACCTTTCACACAGCACGTTGATGCCGGGAAATTGCCAGAATGCCTTCTGTGTGAACGCAAACACGACCGGAGATTAATACCGGCATCAATGCCGGGTTGGGGACCTAGTAACATTGCCAGAATCAGTCCCGGAACGTGCGCTGTGTGAACAAAAGCCAGGACCAATGCCATAAGGGGTGTTTCATAGTGATGACGCTCGTGCAACTTTATTGCTTAGAAGAAAGTTTGTGTTTGTCATCAACAAAGAAAGGACGAACAAATGTCTGCAAACTGGAACGAAGCAGAGACCAGGAGCTCCTCTCTATCCACGCTGAAGCTGAGATCGTTCACCAGCTTTGTGCGCGTGTACATGTTTTCGATGTATACGTTAAACGTCTCATCCTGACGCCATGTGTCTTTACGGAATCTTTACGGGTTGTGTGTGAACGCACTCACAGATCCCGGCAAATCACTGGTAGTGTGAATGAACCGAAATCAAACAATCCCGGGACAAATGCCGGGTCACATTATCCGTGTATTTTCTGGAATCTCCGTGTAAAAGGGGCTTTTCTTTCTCTCTCTCTCTGAGGATGGCTGCATTTGTGATTTCACTCTAATTATTCCTGAGTGGTTCAGTATTTCAGTACTTATTCTCTCAAATAATGGAATGTTTAGGATATTACTGCTCTCAGCATCACACATTTGAAGAGAAAGGGTGGTGATGGTGGGTATGGAGTTTAAGCTTTTCACACAGTCTTGCCCGGCTTTTTTGTTTCATTCTGATATACATCACAATAGGGAAGAAAAGTCAAATTGTCTGGCTCATGCTGACATGAAATATGTACTGTATGTATGTATGCATGTATGCATGTATGCATACATGCATACATACATACATATCGGTCCCAAATCGGTATAACTCTGGTAAGCTCTTCAAATGGGTTTGACAGTCTAATGCTGTGACGTTTGAGTGAGGCTGAGAGTGTGCATGTGCACGTACACACCATCTGAATGGCACCACACGTCACAAAAAAAATACACCAAGTCATTTTTTTACTTTTATTTGCATTTTTCTTTTCTGTCACTATCTTGTCATTGGTTGAGCAGAATGACCACAATTACTCTTGAAAATGTGCACATCATGATTAATGCATGTTTAATATTTTAATTGCTATACATGTTATTGTTCCACTTTGTTCATGCTGCAATTAAAAACAATACTAGCCCTACATTTAAGAATGTTCAGCAGATCACAGGACTGAGACAGATATCGTCAGTCGATCCATCTCTATTAACTATCATTATACTTATAAGCAATAGAAGAACAGGCTGTTGAAACTAAGCAGTTATTGAACCTTGATAAGTGTCAAATCACTCATCATCAACATTTGAGCTTCAGCACTAAACAGACCATAAGATTGTGCAGTATTTTTGCCTTTGAAAAACCTACTAGGCTAAGTCACTTTATGCCTCAGTGAGCCTGTCTCACACAGAAAAAACAAGCAGCTCATTGCTTCCTGTTTGACTGCTTCAAGATTATATTTCCTCAGGAGACCTCAGTGTATTCGCCTGACCTCTGTCTGTATCTCTCCTCCTGCTTCTCAGATAGCTTACCAGTGGCTCATCAGTCTAAACAAGGTGGTGAGCACAAAAAGATTTGCATGCTTTTAGGTCATACTATAGACCTTATTCAGAGCAGCGCCATGACAGGTATGAAAGTGAGGCTGTGGGGGATAGACTTACCGTGTTTCCTATGGCATCCGCTGTAAAAAGCTGAATAAAGCTCCTAGATTACTTACAATTTTCCACAGCTTATATTGTCAGGAGTTTTATGTCAACTAAAATTTCTTGGAAATATATTTTTCCAGTGTTTCATGAGCAGAACAAAACGAAAACACATTAAATAACAGTACAGCCCATTGAAGAGATGCATGTCTATCCCTCACAGCCTCGCTTTCATTCTCATTAAAAATCAAAGATGGCGCTGCCGTGAAGAAGGCGTATAGATAGGGAGAGAATGAGAAAAAGACAGAATGTGTGCAGGGTTTTGTGGGTCTTTCACTCAATTCTCTCAGTTTCTCCACCAGCTGCTGCCATCATTAGGGGTCTGGCAACAAAACAAACCACACTCAGCTAATGGGTAGTGAGACAGAAAATCACCTGCCAATATTAACTTGAGTCCAATAAATGTCAGTCCAACAAAGCCCCCAGTCAGACATGAACAAATCAAGCCAAAGAGATAGCAGCCTCAATCAAGACTGTGTCCAGTGACAGGTGATGAATATTTGTGGTGATAAACCTCCTGTAGCATGATTCCAAGTGTGAAGTGATTTATGATCCTTGAACAGGCCCAAATGGTAGCAAATGGCCCTAACATAAGGGCTAATAGATTCACTCCTGTTCCGGCATTTGACAAGGTGGCCAATGGCTAAGTAACTCAATGGTCCATCTTTATCAAGTAGGCTAATTTATTAAGTTAAATTAAATATTTAGTTTAAATAGTTTACTTTCTGTACTTGTTTCATTCTCATAATTTCTATTTTACCTTTTAATATATTTTATTGCATGTAAAAGATATATAATATATATTATTATTCCGTCGGTGTATGAATGGGTTAATGTGAGGCAAAATAAGGCCATTGGGTCTGTGAAAGCGCTA